CAGGGGTAAAGCGGTTGAGGCGTGAAGCTGACCACTCCAACTAGTGCCGAGGTCAAGAAAATGTGGATCTATACATCCACTCCCCCATACGTCTTGTTGGCTGAATGCTTAATTAGTTAAGCATAAGGACAACTTTACTTTTATTAGTAGCGCTAGTGTGGTCCGGATTCTGTGATCGTGCCTTTAGAATCATTAATTTGCCAGGTACCATATCGCTTGGCATTCTTGACTTCGGCCTTTATTGTATGAAGCAGAACTTGAACTGTGTTGCTTGAAATAACTGTTATTACATGTTAAGATGAAAACAACGATATCGTCAGTTAAACCGATCCTTGGTCATCTTACTGCTGCCTGCATGCCTTACGAACGCGAGTTTTCTAAAATTGGTCTTTATCTTATTATCCTTATAAACATACACTTTAATGTGCTCTTCTCATCTCTGTGTCAGTTTCAAAGAAATTTTCCTCTCAGATATTCTCAAATGATTTCGCTTATCCGAACTACAATTTGAGCACATTATCTCTTTGATTTATATACTTTAACCTATGTTGCAGGAAGATAACAAATAGATATACACATATGGTTTCCTTCACCGTGTCCTCAGTTTGTCTCTTACAGTTCTTTGGTTTCAAATTCGTGTAACTTAAAAAAGAATTGCCCAGGCATACAAGCCCATGCCTTATTACACGCCAAGCAATATAAGGATCTGTGATCCTTTGTGACAGTTGTTAATTCGTTATACTAGGATTACAGGATAGCGTCCATTATCTGAGGTATAGCTGATAAACACGACTTGTTGTCATTGTACTGACAGGTTCTTTAATTACTTTGTTGTACTAAGACAAACAGAATTAATCGTTCTTCACCCTGCGCATGCGTAGTCAGTATCACAGTAGCTTCTTTTTTAATGTGTGGGACTAAGTCACTTGGACTGCGGCAACTTCTGGTCTATTGTACCAGCCCCAGATGATAGGTGAGGGTGACTGTGGAGCAATTGGTGGAATGAAGATTGGCAGGGAAACCGAAGTACTCGCAGAAAACCTGCCCCAGCGCCACTTTGTCCACCACAAATCCCACTTGACCAGACCCGGGATCGAACCAGGGCCAGCACGGTGGGAAGGCAGCGAATAACCGCTTGAGCTATGGCGCGGCCATCACAATAGCTAACCTTTAAAGAAGAAATAAGACCAGATACTGCATCCATTGTTAATAAATGTCGAGTCGTCATAGTATATAAGTCCGATGTTAAAATTTAAACAAGTTAAACAGACGGTTCCCGGTTTTTTTGGTAGTGCGACTACACTGAATAACTTGTAATCCCATATTATTTAAACACTGTAGGACTAACCATCAAACTGAACACTGGTGATACTGTTAAGTCTGTAACAGTTAATTGTTAGACTCACAGACGTGTTTTGGGAAAGAAAATGTGACGGCGTATAGTGAATGAATTGAACCAAAATAATGTGGCTTCTTAATGTACATATATATATATATATATATCGCTGTGTGAACCTGAAAATAGATTTGAAATTGATATTTGAAGTATGCAGTAAATTCTGTTAACTGCTTCCTGTGCTAAAGAAGTTAGTGGTGACCGAATCCCATTCAGGAAAATGCTTTTCATCACAGTATCGTAAAGCATGCAGTTCGAAGGAACTGGGTGTAATTAAATAAATCATTTTTATTGTATTTTAAATTCGCACAGCGATGCTTATGAAGAGTCCATTCGTCTGGGATGTATCGATGTAGCCCTGCGAAACCCAACCGACGTTTCGAAGGAACATCACTTCTATTTCCAGGGCCGAAATTGTAAGCCAAGCAATGAACCAACATGAAGTAGCAGTGACATTTTTATGATATGATACAGACATGTATTTTTCTTTATGTTGGAGGCCGTTATAAGATCTGGTCATGCAAGGCAGAGATGGACATGCGTACGCACTTAGCGATCCCTCAGTAGGAACAGCCACTTCTGATTATACTGAATTAAGTGGAGTACGTTCGGTTCCTATTACGAATAGCACATTGCTATTACGTAAGTGAAGTGCGGATCGGGTTTCCCACAACCTTTAAACCGAATTGAAGGCATGTATTGACAACGAAATAAATTTCATTAAAACATTGTGACTCTCGAATTTTGCTCTAATTTTGTTCTATGAAATACGTGTTATTGAATATGTATGTATGGTCGCTTGAGATTAATTTACGCCGTGTTTTATGATTCGGAATACTTTCTTTATCGTAACAGGTAATCGTTATATATAACTGCAGGACGGTTATATTCTTCTGAAATGTATGATGAATGAAAGAATTTAAAATTTAACAAATTTAAAATATACAGATTGTGTCCTATGACTTTACTAGGGTCGTTTTACAAAAGATTTTTGATCACAGTTGCCGTTCCTAAATCTCTGCGAACGTCCATACACTTGTCGGAGTCTCTCACGTTGAAGAGACAAACAAAACAAACTCCGTGACCTTTAGTCCGCAAGCTAACTATACCAACCGAGCGATTGCCACTTGTCGGCGAAGTTAGTGCCAACTTATAGGATAGAGGGTGTCGCGTGGTCAGCGCAACGGATCCCCACGGCCGTTAATCTCGGTTTTGTAGACCGGAGCCGCTGTTTCCTTGAAATAGCTCCCCAGTTATCCTCGCGAGGCTGAGTGGACCCCGTTCCAGGCTCACTACTTCTCAGAAAATCCGGTAGTGCCGGGAATTGAACCCGGGACTTCGGGATCTGTAGGCAGGAACTCTGACCACTAGACCACAGAGGCGGTCACGTTGAAGAGATATTGATGAAGAATGTTGCTTTGGAACAGAATCTGTGAATAGTAGGTAGGATCTTGCTCGAACGAATAATTGCATTTTTAGACATGTTTAATTAAACAATATTATGCTGGTAACTGTATTGCTTGTCGAAATATAGAAGAATGTAGTGACACATTGAATTCTTAATTGCCACAGATGAATATTTGAACAATAAAGACAAATTCACTGGTATATTTTGGTAACCATTTTAGCACTCTTCTGCAGGTTCTCACAAATCCTGCTGGAAAGTGCATTCGGAGTGCGAATAGTTATGTGTTATTTCCAAAAGGCGCCTGTTAATGATTCGCTGTGTAGCCTACGTCCTTCAGTATGTTTACCATACTTAAATAATTTAGTGTTCAAACAGTGATAAAAAAGTTAAAACGTAATACACCTCTGCCATCTTCACAATAACACATGTGTTTTGACTCAGAATATGACCATTCGTAATGATACATGTCCTTAAAGTTTTGAAGCCTGAAATTAATTTAAATAATATTTAGGAATTGAGTTTCTACCTCTCAGAAAACACATTGCACTTCCACCTTACATGCCACCAGACACCGTACTCGGATAACAGGACACGAGAACCCGCTAATCGTTGAATTAACGAAACCGCACCCAGCAGCAAGACGACTGAGGACAACCTGGCCAGTAGACTTATGTAACTAAAAGGTAGAGTACTGCCACTGGGCAGCTGCCGCCTTCACGACATAAACACCCATCGCATTTACTTATTACTTACAGTGGTCAAGTAGATTGTAAATTGACGTAAAAAAAAACTTCCACCACAAAGACTGATCAGTTAACTGTTTTAAAAACCGATTGTTTATGACGAGACTTATACTGTAAAAAAAAGATAAAAGTAAAGCTATCCCTGTAACAGGCCATGGAGGCCCATAGGATTGGAGGCGTTGAGGGCCCCACATTTTCTAGACATTCGGCTCACAGATGAGGTTGTCAGCCTCACGCGCCGTCCTCCCTTTACCCCCCAGGGAGATCTCTGGTACTCATTTCTGTTAGAGGCTGAGCCGAACCCAGGGCCATAGTGCGACTGGAAGGATTAGGTCAATTAAAAAAATCAACCTCATCGGGACTTGAACCCTCGACCTTCCGGCTTGTAGCATAGGGCCTCAACCAACTACGCTACCGCGTGCCCCGAGACATATACTGTGCCTAAATACACGTATATTCTCCTGGCATGTGCTGAGCTTTTAATGCTAAAGCAGGTGGTACACGTAACAACTGTTGTGCGTTAAAGGGTTGAAAGTGATTTATCTTACAAATTGATGGGTATTTATAATATGCCTCTGCATTAGTGATGCTGCTTCTGTGTTAAATTGTATAGGCTCAGCGTCACCGTGCAAAGAGTCTAGTTTGGATTTCATACGGCAGAGGGAATCGGATATAGATTGTACTTTCCAGCTTGGAAATATTAAAATGAAGTGGCCTGTTATTGTAAGAGCATGGTTAGATCATATTAGTAGCTAGCCGAAGGAGCGAATGAAAGCCTATATAGACGTATAGACCTATTCATTCCGAGGAGAGATTTTTAAAATCTACTTAACTAATACCATGGAGTAGAATTCTTATGAAGAATCAAACAGTCTGGTAAGCTGACCAAGCACGTTGAATATGAGATGGTTATGAACGATTCTGTGTTCTCATATGTTACGCCGTGTAATTCGTTGAAAATAGACTGGAGTTTCGGATTAACATATCGCTTGCATCTTCAGGATTTCCTGCTTGGTTTATTACCCGATCCTGAAGTGGAGGCAACATGCTCCTCCGCATTCAAGGTCGCAGTGCAAGGGCAGGATTTTATGGCCCTCCCCTTACACATATACACATACATGTTCCTCCGAAAGGTCGGTTAATTTTTAACGGACTAGTCAGCTTTATATCTCAGAAGATAGAATTCTTCGTGACCAAGAAATTGCCCTCTTTTTGTATGGAACATGAAAATTAACTAACGAGTTCACCTTAATATATTTTGAGCCCGATTTCTTTGAGGTACAAGTCAATATTATTGTTCTCCTACGTCTGTGTCAACCAGGTGATCACTTCCCATCAGCCACTCCTGCTAAGACTAATGTATACCAAAATGCCGTAACATTAGATTAAGCTAGTATACAAATTATACAAGGGTTAGTTTCTTGGACTGTTATTTTTTTTTCTTTCTTTTCAGCCCTAGAGCGGAAGATATCCGTACGGGCCAACAGGGACGAACTTGTACAAAAGGGTATTCTCATGCCAGAGAGCCCAACTTCCCCACTTCCCGAGCCAGGTGCGTCATTGTATATATTCTGATTTTTCTAATGTATAAAAATATTTGTTTCAGCACCTCTTTGTTTTGCGAGCACAGCGACTTATACTTAATAATACAGTATTATTTACGAACTTCGTAATAAATTTTTAATTTGCTTAATTGTGTGATCCATTTTAATTATAATTCCAGTGAATTTGGTAGTTTAATTAACTAGATATTCTCTTTTACGTACATGAAGTAATATCTCCAGCTATCTGGCGAGTGGCTGCAGAAACATAAGGGAATATTTCGGAGGAATACCCATAGGTAGCGCAGCGAATGTTGAAGAGCGTGGCCGGTAGATGGCAGCATAGGGAACTTCACCCAACCTTGCTCGTCTGTAGAAAGACAAGACGAGGAGGGTAAAGTGAAAATGTCGACTGAAACTGACAATTTACATTCTTCGCGGTCAAGTGTGTTTGTAAGTATGATAAAGAATCGTAGTGTGTTTTACAAGTCTATTGCCAATTTTCGTATTGCGTATGAAGTTTTGTCTTTATGTTGCTACCAAATGTCACACGAGTTTTTTTTGTCGTAAAAGTTTCTTTTTTCTGATGACAATGTATTGAAAGAGTATAATTGTAGTGCTGTGGGATCGTCAGCTGTCACATATCAGAATTTGTCGAATAGTATAAATAGATAAAAGTTAGATTGTCGTCATGGAGGCAGTAGTAACAATTTATTTGAAAACGTAGTATCCTAATTATGGAACTATGTGTGTGTTAGTATAAGGGGAAGAGAAGACATTTTGCTCTCTCTGAATATTCGTATTGTATGCCCTGTCCATTAGAAAGGCGATGTCATGGTATGCTCTAATTATAGAGGAATTAGTCTGTTGTGCATATCATATAAAATAGTTTCCAACATTCTATTTAACAGACTCTCTCCCTTTGTGGAAGGCATAATTGGGGATTACCAATGTGGGTTTCGTCAAGGAAGATNATGCACATTCCACGGAAGTTAATCGCCTTAGTCAGAGCCACTATGAGAAAGACCCAATGCCAAATTAAGAATCAGAATATGTTGTCCAGCCCTATAATAACTAGAAATGGAGTTCGACAAGGGGATTCCCTAGCCTGCCTTTTGTTCAATATAGCATTAGAGAAGGTAGTTAGAGATGCAGGCATCAACACAAGGGGAACTGTATTCTACAAGTCAGTTAAAATTTTGGCATTTGCAGATGATATTGATATTAATTGGTAGAACACAAAAATCTATTAAAGAAGCTTTTCTTAATTTGGAAAGAGCAGCAAAAAAGATGAATCTACAAATTAACCAAAATAAAACAAAGTACAGGCCGGTAACCAAGAAAGACTGTGCTAATGGACCTGCATATATTGAAATTGGCTCATATAAATTTGAGGTTGTATGTAGTTTCACTTACCTTGGATCAGAAGTTAACTGTAAAAATGACATCAGTGATGAAATAAGAAAGCGTGTACTTGGGGCAAATAAATGTCTCCAAGGCCTTAGGAAACACCTGAAATCCCAATTAATACCCAGGAAAACCAAAACTATGATGTATAAAGTACTTATAAGACCAGTGCTATCTTATGCCTCCGAGACCTGGCCACTGTCAAGATCAGATGAAAGACTGTTAAGTATATTTGAAAGGAGGATCTTGAGATATATCTTTGGACCAGTGGAAGAAAATGGAATATGGAGGAAGAGGTATAACCATGAGCTATACAAACTATTTAATGAACCAGACATTGTTGGATTTATAAAGGTGAAAAGGCTTGAACGGGCTGGACACACAATACGTGCCACCGAGAATAGAACCATCAAGAAAATGCTTAACACCAAACCAGAAGGAAATAGGAGAGTGGGAAGACCAAGGTTAAGATGGGAAGAATGTGTGTGACAAGACATAAGAATTTTGGGTATAAAGAACTGGAAGAATGTAGCATCGAATAGAGAAGAATGGCGAGCAATCCTGAGGAAGGCCAGGGCTCATAAAGGGCTGTCGTGCCAGTGATGATGATGATGATGATGATGAATATGCGTATTTAAATTATTCAAATCAATGCTTATATTGACGATGAATTCTGGAAGTTAGGAGCTAATATGCCATCAGTAATGAAGATGCAGTGAAATGCGCGCTCATGTGTGTACGCTGGTACTTCTATGACACCACAGAATATGAAGTCCGAATCTGTAGCTTATATGGTTTCTGCATTAAACCAGGCGTGAATGTGGCCTAAAATCTTAATTTGCTAATTCAGTTTGGTGTTAGACGTTCGTGTTTAAGATTCTCTGCCTTTAAGAAAGAGTTTAGCGAATTTTCTTTTTAGATCCATATTCACAATATTTGCTATATCTTAAATGTGTTAATTCTCCAATGAATGTATCGTCAACTTTAAAACAGCACGCATGACATTTGAACTGGTTATTTCGCAAAGAGGGCGGAAGTCATCAGCCAGTAAAAATGTCAAGAAGTGTATTAAGGCAAAAATGAACTATTTGATTAAGTAGCGGGAAACAGAATGACAGTCAAGAAATTAAGTAAAGCAAGGGGATGAGGAAAACAAGTTTTAATTTGCAACTGTGTGTAGGGTAGCACCCGCTGAAAATACAACGAGAAATTTAATCATTTTTATAGACTTATAAGATTTTCTGCTATTAACTTCCTCTTTTTTCTCCCTTATTTCTTTCCAGTCCTACATGTAAACGATACTTCGAGGCCGATGTTTACTGACATCTCCCACGAATAACAACACATATAATAAATTTTAAACCATCTATACTTTGAAGAAAGCAGTCTTCTGGGATTTGGCACCGTGTATACGTGGTGTTAACCGACGTTTCGGAGGAACGTGTCGCCTCCATCTTCAGGGTAGAAGATGGAGGCGATACGTTCCTCCGAAACGTCGGTTAACATCACGTATACACGGTGCCAAATCCCAGAAGACTGCTTTCTTCATAGTCACCGCCGTGAAAGCCTCAAACCTTACATCTATACTTTGTGTACTATACTTCACCTATTCACATCAAACTATTATCATTACTCAAAGAATAGATGCGATACACTGATACAGAAGACTGTTCGATCGTTCTTGACCCTCAACATAACTAATGTTCATCCAAAGAATTAATTTCCGAACTTAATCTCATCCTAAAATCCCTTCTTTAATAGATGCTGTTTTTTCAGAACTTTAATCTCAGACTGTTCAGTTATTCAGTATAGAGGGGGTGGGTTTCCCCATGCACCGCGACTAATAGTCTGTTGTGCGTCCCCCTTTAATTTCTACTATCTCCATACCCTACCGATACTGGTGCCCGCTGTCTCCCCTTTCTGCCAGCGAGGTCGGCCCTCTACTGGCATTGGTACCCGATAACTTCCCCATCTACCGGAGGCATTGGAAACTACTTGGGCGGGAAACATTTTTGCCTGATTTTGCTCATAGGTCTCCTAGAGACATGAGGACCCACGGCTTAAGTCCCTCCCGGAGGACTTGTTCCCTGAATTTTCCCGCCTTAAAAATTCCACGACCTCCGCCGTGTTTGAACCCTCGTACCTTGAGGAGGCATGATGTGGGAACGTTACCCCTAGACTACGGATCCCGCTAATCTCAGACTAACATTACTTTTTTAATATAGGCTGTTTTACGACTTTATATTTGCAGGGCTTATTCCTGAAGTCATTGTAAGTGAAAAGATATTAACGTCTACTCGTACATGGGTAAGATTCTGAATGAGTTACAGAATTAATGGGTGGGCGATAGCGATGTATTATCATATATACAAATGTCACTGTGTAAGCCTGCGTTAGACAGCAGATCTGTACGTGTATGTTGTGTTACATGGGTACTGTAATAGGGAATTCAATGAAAAACATGCCGTTTATATTTAATAACGAAGAATAACGAGATATGCTTCTCTATCGGTCTTGTAACGGAAACTATCCTGCCCCTGCTGAGGAATATCGAAGAGGATTCCCGAAACGGAGAATCTCTGATGGGCTTGTGTTTTGTGCTGTCCATCGACAGTTGCGAGGATGAAAGCCGTCTCCAGCCGAACGTTCTGTGAGGCGATACGTGGATGACGAGGATGCCATTGGAATTGCCGCATGCCACGGGCACGAATGTACGTCCAGCTTGGCGGGGCGCCCCCACATATTGGTCTGCAGACAATGCGGTACATTATTTAGTACTTCCCTTGTCGCTGGACTGGCCGGATCGGGGCAGGTGGTCGCCCAGAGTTGGCCACCACGATCTCCGGACCTCTGCTCCCTTAATTTCCATGTGAGAGATACACGAAAGTTCTTGCTTACGGACTTAAGGTGGACACACGTAAGAACTTAATTCATCGCATTGTCGATGCGGTCATGCGCGTCAGTAACCGAGGCAGCCATCACACGTTCTGATGTGAAACAGGCAGGAATATGTATCGAAGCTGAAGGCGGTTATTTTGAACATTGTTACAGCAGTGAAAGTTCATGGTATGTAGAACCATGAATAAGACTTTTTTGCAATAAACGTGTTTTTGTTATATTCAAATCATCTTTACTTCCCCTACCCATAGGCCCGTAAAAGTCGAGAATCGTACCCAATTTGGTACAATGCTTTTACTCAGAATGACCTCAGGAATAACATCCTGATGTTATGACAAATTCACAGGACAGCTTGTACGTGTATATAGAAGGATATGGATTTTGATCTCTATTTGGATACAGAATTGACGCTTCCGAACACAGCAGGAAGACATGTCTCGTTTTAATTTTGAGACTAATCTCTTGTTCATATTTTTATGCGTTGGCAATCCTGTCGAGCACCCGGTAAATTCGTTCCGACCGTCCGTCCGTCCTACGCATGGAACATCTTCAAATCTCTAGACGAGTTTTCTTAACATCTAACACTGATGAATGTTACGACAGACTGTGTAATTATTCTAATTTTAATTTAGATCGTACATGTTTAACGAAAACTTCTTTTGATAGCCCTGCATGCGTTTCGACTGGAATTTCACTGTTTATCTGA